CTACTCTACCTCGTCACCCTCTACCTCGTCACCCTCTACCTCGTCACCCTCCTACTCTACCTCGTCACCCTCTACCTCGTCACCCTCCTACTCTACCTCGTCACCCTCTACCTCGTCACCCTCTACCTCGTCACCCTCCTACTCTACCTCGTCACCCTCTACCTCGTCACCCTCTCTCACCCTCTACCTCGTCACCCTCTACCTCGTCACCCTCCTACTCTACCTCGTCACCCTCTACCTCGTCACCCTCTACCTCGTCACCCTCCTACTCTACCTCGTCACCCTCTACCTCGTCACCCTCCTACTCTACCTCGTCACCCTCTACCTCGTCACCCTCTCTCCCCGTCTACCTCGTCACCCTCTCTCCCCGTCACCCTCTACCTCGTCACCCTCTACCTCGTCACCCTCTACCTCGTCACCCTCCTACTCTACCTCGTCACCCTCTACCTCGTCACCCTCTCTCACCCTGTACCTCGTCACCCTCTCTCACCCTCTACCTCGTCACCCTCTACCTCGTCACCCTCTACCTCGTCACCCTCTCTCCCCCTCTACCTCGTCACCCTCTACCTCGTCACCCTCTACCTCGTCACCCACTCTCCCCGTCTACCTCGTCACCCTCTCTCCCCGTCACCCTCTACCTCGTCACCCTCTACCTCGTCACCCTCTACCTCGTCACCCTCCTACTCTACCTCGTCACCCTCTACCTCGTCACCCTCTACCTCGTCACCCTCTACCTCGTCACCCTCTCTCCCCGTCACCCTCTACCTCGTCACCCTCTACCTCGTCACCCTCTACCTCGTCACCCTCCTACTCTACCTCGTCACCCTCTACCTCGTCACCCTCTGCCTCGTCACCCTCTACCTCGTCACCGTCTCTCCCCGTCTCTCTTTCCGCCAGCTTCGCTCTCCTCCGGCGTCTCGCGACCAACCGGCGGTGACGTCACCCGTGCCCCTCGGATGGGGCGTGACGTCACCCCTGCCTCGGCGGGGGCGGGGCGGGTGTTCGTGACGTCACGCGGGTCGAACGCGACGACGGGGTGACGTCAAAACCACGTCGTCGGGACTTTGCGCGTGGGTGACGTCACCGCGCGTTCGACTTCAAGCGCGTGCCATCGCGATTACAATGGATAGCCCCCCCCGCCATTGTAATGTGTAAGCGTGTTCATTCATCACAACGGGCATCCATTATATGTAATTACAATTATATGCGTTCATTAATCACAACGGTATACCCGTGACCCCGTGACCCCGTGGCCCCGTAACCCCGTGGCCACGTGACCCTCTTGCCACGTGACCCCGTGGCCACGTGGCCCCGTTGCCCACGTGACCCCGTTGCCCACGTGACCCCGTGGCCCCGTGGCCACGTGACCCCTTTGCCCCGTGGCCACGTGACCCCGTGGGCCACGTGGCCCCCGTGACCCCGTGGGCCCTATAATGCGATACACATCGTGTTTGACCCTGACTGGTCTCGACCATTGACAGCAGCCTTCCCTAGGCCCCAGTCTCGCCACCAGCGCGGCACCGGAGAAACGCACAGGATGAGGATGAGGACATTACCGCACATTTCAGAGCATCTCGGGCTCGGGACGACCAGCTGCATCTTGAGATTCCTGTTTTCGGCCAGTAGCAAAGAAGTTATTTTTAAAGCTTTGCGTGGCTGCACGAAATTTAATCTTTGTTTTTTTTTTCGGTAAAGCCACGTATGTGGAAGTACAATAAAATTATATTAAAATTAAAATAAAAAACGCAATCCAGAAATTTTGATTTAAAGCTTTCGTGAATGCAGTCATTCATATTCTTATAAAATAACAAAATATCTTATTTTATTGTTTCCCTTCAACGTGACTTTACCGAAAGAGCTAAGAATAATAATCCGGGAGTTGGAACGCGAAATTTAACACTCTTCTGAAATTCGTGGTCCGCCAGGACGTGTCTAACCGTGTTGTTGGCCTGACTGGTTGTGCTTCACGTAATGTTTTTTTCAGGTTTGTTGAATTCTCGTCTCTCATCTCTTTTTTTTTTGCTGTATTTACCTCCGTGATTTCTTCTTGACACCTGATGAAGGTCGCTTGCGTCGTGATCGAAACGTCGTGATTGTTTTGTTTTAATGTAATTTGACCCTGACTGGTCTACACCATTGACAGCAGCCTTCCCTAGGCCCCAGTCTCACCACCAGCGCGGCACCGGAGAAACGCAAAAAAACGCGCCACAGGACGAGGACATTACCGCACATTTCAGAGCATCTCGAGCTCGGGGCGAGCAGCTGCCTCTTGAGATTCCTGTTTTTGGCCAGTAGCAAAGAAGTTATTTTTAAAGCTTTCGTGACTGCACAAAAATTACTCATTGTTTTTTTCGGTAAAGCCACGTATGTGGAAGTACAAAAAAATGATATTAAAATTAAAATAAAAAACGCAATCCAGAAATTTTGATTTAAAGCTTTCGTGACTGCAGTAATTCATATTCTTATAAAATAACAAAAGATATTATTTTATTGTTTCCCTTCAAAGCGACTTTACCGAAAGAGCTAAGAATAATAATCCGGGAGTTGGAACGCGAAATTTAACACTCTTCTGAAATTCGTGGTCCGCCAGGAAGTGTCTAACCGCGTTGTTGGCCTGACTGGTTGTGCTTCACGTAATGTTTTTTTTAGGTTTGTTGAATTCTCGTCTCTCATCTCTCTTTTTTGTTGTTGTATTCACCTCCGTGATTTCTTCTTGACACCTGATGAAGGTCGCTTGGGTCGTGATCGAAACGCCGTGATTGTTTCGTTTTATTATAATTGTATTGTGTTTCTACGCACGTGAGCAGTAGCAAAGAACTTAAAATAAGAACAGCGGTCGTGCCCTTTCTCTGCCTTCGCCCTTGCGTGTAGGCGTTCACACGTCAAATGTGAAACGTTTTACAGGGATTCCCGTGGTCTGCGTTGATCGCACGCCGCGTGGCTACTCGGCGGTGAGCACGAAGGCGAGCCCTCTTCCTACTCCCCGGCACTTTCGGTAACGTCGCGCGGGTATCAAATGGAACGTTATGGCCCTCTCCGTGACTTTACCGGAAGAATCAAAGAGCGTGGATTTCCCCCTCGCAGTCACGGAAGCTCCAAACCACGGATTGAAACCTCCTCTCGGTTTCAGGTTTTCTTATTTTGACGCTGCCAATCAACGAGACGAGAATGACGGGTCCCAAATTTTGATTTAAAGCTTTCGTGACTGGCAGCAATTCATATTCTTAGTTCTTTCGGTAAAGTCACAAAGTCAACGTGACTTTACCGAAAGAACTAAGAATATAACGGGTCCCGTCTTGAATTCTCAAATTTTCACCGTCAGCACAATTTAGTTGTTTTTTTGCGCAATTTCTCGGGGAGGGCCGGGGAAAATGCCGCAGTTTTGGGATTTCTCGCTATAAAGGCGCTGTGTGTGTGTGGGGGGGAGGGAGGGGGTATATTGGAAATCGCCAAAACGTTTTTTTTTTATTCATAATAAAGGTTTTTTTGGGGGTCAGATCGCGTTATTTATAAATGTGTCGTAACCCTCCACCACCCGACACGGGCAATCAGCTAAATAAAAAGTGTCACGTTGACAAAGAGACAAAATCGTTCGCTGCTTTAGCCCCAACACCGGTGTGTTGTTGAAGAGTGAATCCACATCGTGACACTTTTTATTTTTTACTGATTAGCCGTGTCGGGTGGGGGAGGGTTACGACACATTTATAAATAACGCGATCTGACCCCCCCCCCCCCCAAAAAAAACCAACCTTTATCGTGATTAATAACGTTGGTCACGAGATCTTGCAGCGTGTTAAACTGTTTTTTTTGTTTTCGTCGTTAGATTTTGAGTGAAAAGCCTCTTGCCACGGTGACCGCAATGCCTTCGTGAACCTCGCGAGGTTGCGATTTCTTTGACCCCCCTCCACCACCGTTCCTTCCCCTTAATGCGGCGACGTTCGCCGCCGCGGCGGTCAACTCGCCGGGGCCTACGTGACGTTTTGTTGTTGTTTTGTTGTTGTTTTGTTGTTGTTGGTTGTTGTTGGTTGTTGTTGTTGTTGTGTTTGTGTGGCCACGTTGCCTCGCTTGCAAGTTGTCCGACAAGCCAGCGTGGAAGACGCTGAGGGTGCATCCGGTGCCGGGCGAAGGCAGCGGCGGGGGGCCTGCAACGTGCGTTATGAAGGGGCCCCCGGATGTCAAAAAAAACAAAGCGCTTGGCTGTTCAAAACACGCAAATGTTTCACTTGCGCGGCGAAGCGATTGTCATTTTTGTTAATTTGCTATACAGCCGGATAATACGACGCAAATCGCGAACCCTAAACAAACACCCCAGTCATATTCTTGGTTCTTTCGGTAAAGTCACCACGTAGAAGGGAAACAATAAAGTAATAAAAATATAAAACAATTTCCCTTCTACGTGACTTTACACCGCTGTTATATTCTTGGTTCTTTCGGTAAAGTCACCACGTAGAAGGGAAACAATAAAGTAATAAAAATATAAAACAATTTCCCTTCTACGTGACTTTACACCGCTGTTATATTATTGGTTCTTTCGGTAAAGTCACCACGTAGTAGGGAAACAATAAAATTATAAAAAATATAAAACAATTTCCCTTCTACGTGACTTTACACCGCTGTTATATTCTTGGTTCTTTCGGTGAAGTCACCACGTAGAAGGGAAACAATAAAGTAATAAAAATATAAAACAATTTCCCTTCTACGTGACTTTACACCGCTGTTATATTCTTGGTTCTTTCGGTAAAGTCACCACGTAGTAGGGAAACAATAAAATTATAAAAAATATAAAACAATTTCCCTTCTACGTGACTTTACACCGCTGTCATATTCTTGGTTCTTTCGGTGAAGTCACCACGTAGAAGGGAAACAATAAAATAAAAACAATAAAAAATAATTAAAATATAAAACAATACAATTCTCACGACGCTTCGACTGCAACACAAGCAATCATCATCAGGTGTTTAATATTTTTATTATATTTTTTATTAGTTTATTGTTTCCCT